TTATACAGTGACAGGCTAGTCCCCACTAATGCTGTACCCCAGTGTTATACAGTGACAGGCTAGTCCCCACTAGTGCTGTACCCCAGTGTTATACAGTGACAGACCTGTACAAACCACTACCTCATATTATACGATGACTAACCTGTCCCTTCCAGGACTGTATCTCAGTGTTATAAAGTATAAAGTGACAGATCTGTACCCATCAGGGCTGTACCCCACTCTTATATACTGAAAAATACCTTCAAATTGAACAGTGAGCTCACAAAAGAAGCTGATTTTAAATCAATCTTGCTTTTTTGACATTGAAAACATTGACATGGCTCCAGATTACAAACATTCCAATTTGAACTCTATTTAACACATTGTCAATCTAACGCTTTATCTGATCAGTTTAATGAAACTTAACTTCATTGACCATTCATCAGCAGCTGTTTGATTTTTGACTCAGTCACTCCCCACAGTGTGGTTTTATCCTTTCAATCCCTTCCTGACTCCCCCCACATCACCTTCAGTGAATCCAGCAGGTCTCCGACCAGGAACAACCGGCGAAGGTGTGAAATGGCACTGGTCACATAAAGTACTGTCACTTCGAAGTATTTCCGCATCTGTTCCTGGGACAGAGCGATGTCCAAATCGAGATAGACCCTGTAAACAGAGAGGGAGAAGTTAGTGAGGGAAAGTATGAGACACGGACAGATAGAGAGTGGAAGTGAGGAGAGGGAGAGCAGGAGTTGATGGTAGAGGGATGAGACAGCAAGGGGAGGGTGAAGATGGAAAGAGGGACAGGTTTGTGTAAGCAAGATAGATATTGAGGATAGAGAGAGGAATAGGAATAGTAGAGTAAGTGAGGATGGAGAGAGGGATAGGGATGGGAGAGCAAGACAGAGAGAGAGACTGAGAGAGGTAGATAGAGGAATAGGGAGGGAGAGAGTGTGTGAAGATGAAGAGAGAGACAGAGAGAGAAGAGAGAGGAAAAGTGGGAAGATAGAGCTTCATGGGAAATATAGTTAATGGTAAGACCCTGGGGAGTGATACCGACAAAAAGGGTTCAGGGACAGTTTCTTGAGATTGGAGTCGCAGGTAGACAGGGTGGTGAAGAAAGCATTTGGCACGCTTGCCTTCAATGGTCAGAATATTGAAAATAGGAGCTGGGCATCTTATTGCGGCTGTACAGAACATTGGTGAGGCCACTTCTTGGATACTGCGTACAATTCTGGTTGCCCTTCTATAGGAAGGAAAACTTGAGACAGTGCAAAGATTTACAAGGATGGTGCTGGGGTTGAAGGGTTTGAGTTATAGGAAGAGGCTGTAGACTGGGGCTATTTTCTATGGAGTGTCGGAGGCTGAAGGGTGACCTTATAGAGGTTTAAAAAATCATGAGGGGCATGGATAGGGTGAATAACTAAGGACTGTTTCCCAGAGTGGGGGATTCCAAAACTAGACGGGTTTAAGATGAGAGGAGAAAGATTTAAAACTTGCTCATATACAGGGTGGTATGTGTATAGAATGAGCTGCCAGAGGAAGTGGTGGAGGCTGGTACAGTTACAACATTTAAAAGACATCTGGATGGGTATACGAATAGGAAGGGTTTAGAGGGATATGGGCCAAACGGTGGCAAATGGGACTGGATTAATTTGGGATATCAGGTCAGCATGGACGAGTGGTACTGTATGACTCTATGACTATTAAATGAGGTGAGAGAGTGTAGAAGTGAGCAAAGGAGCAGAAAAGAAAGTAGAGAATAAGGAGAGAGAAGGGAGGGATTTACGGGTGAGTACGGAGCAATGAGACAGAGGGAAAGCGAGAGAGAAGCAATGATTTTGGGAGAAACAGTTTTGGTATTATGGGTCTCCCTACAGCACGTGTACTACAGCCATCCAGCAGCTCAACACCACCTTCTCGAGGGGCAACTAGGAACAGGCAATAAATGCTGGTCCAGCCAGTAACACCCTTATCCCACCAGGGAATTAAAAAAAGGTATCTGCTACTACAGTGGAATATTGAGAAAGATCACATTCCCTGCTCTGTCTCATTGTGACCAGCAACGTGTGCGGTACTGAGGCTGAAAGACAAGAGGAATCCAGGACAGATACCAGTCAGTGCTACATTTTCTGTTCTTGGCTGTGCTGCCTACATAGTCAAATAGCCAGCAGGCACTGTGGCCTGAACTTGGAGAACAACCTTTTGATTAAACAATTGGAGGCTCCCAGTGTGTCCAGAATGAAATGGGAGCCAAGAACTCAAGGCTGATGAAAGAAAGGGGACAAAAATATTCTGCATCCAAGGAGATCACAGCCCCTCCAACACAGTGTCAATCGGGTTCAAAAATTCAAAATTAACATTTTATAAAATAAGCAAAACATCTTAACAAATATTAAAAGCTTATTGATAAAACTGTCAGCTAGTTGAAGGGTTAATTAATCGTTGTGGAGTCTGTCACTCAAAGTAATAGGTAAAATGATGCCAGGACCAGAGGAAATGAATTAAGAGGCATGTTTGCACAGACTAGGCTTGTATTCTGCTGGAGTCATAGTGAAGTACAGCACGGAAACAGACCCTTCGGTCCAACTCGTCCATGCTGACCAGATATCCAAAATGAATCTAGTCCCATTTGCCAGCATTTGGCCCATATCCCTCTAAACCCTCGCTGTTCATGTACCCATCCAGATGTCTTTTACATGTTGTAACTGTACCAGCCTCCACCACTTCCTCTGGCAGCTCATTCCATACAAGCACCACCCTCTGCATGAAAGGTTGCCCCTTAGGTCCTTTATAAATCTTTCCCCTCTCACCTTAAATCTTTGCCCTCTAGTTTTGGATTCCCTTACCCTGGGGAAAAGACCTTGTCTACTTACCCTATCCATGCCCCTCATGATTCTATAAACCTCTATAAGGTCACCCCTCAGCCTCCAACACTCCAGAGAAAATAGCCCCAGCCTATTCAGCCTCTTCCTATAGCTCAAACCCTCTAACCCTGGCAACATCCTTGTAAATCTTTTCTGAACACTTTCAAGTTTCATAACATCTTTCCATATAGCAGGGAGACCAGAATTGAATATAGTATTCCAAAAGTGGCCTAACAAATGTCATGTACAGCCGCAACATAACCTCCCAACTCTTGTACTCAATACACTGACCAATAAAGGCAAGCATACCAAATGCTTTCTTCACTAACCTGTCTACCTGTGACTCCACTTTCAAGGAGCTATGAACCTGCACCCCAGGGTCTCTTTGTTCAGCAACACTCCCCAGGACCTTACCACTCAGTGTGTAAGTCCTGTCCTGATTTGCCTTTCCAAAATGCAGCACCTCACATTTATCTAAATTAAACTCCATCTGCCACTCCTTGGCCCATTGGCCCATCTGATCAAGGTCCCATTGAACTGAGGTAACCTTCTTCGCTGTCCACTACACCTCCAATTTTAGTGTCATCTGCAAACTTACTAACCATACCTCCTATGTTCACATCCAAATCATTTATAAAAATGACAAAAAGCAATGGAGTATTGAAGATGAAGGGCTGATCTGACTGAGGCATTTAAGATAATTGAAAGATTTGATAAGGTAGTTAGAGTAACTATTTCTTTTGGTGCTGGGGAACAAAGGTGCATAAACCTTAAAATTTGAGCTAGGCAGGGATGAGGTCCAGGAAGCAAGCCTTTACACAATGAGGAGTAGAAATCTGAATCACTGTTCCCAGGAGTACTCTGTGTTATTCTGATCTCCATATTTAAAAAGAGAATATACTGACATCAGGTGCGATTTAAAATTCATTAGCTGTTCACTTATCAAGAACAGCTAAACAGGTTAGGACTTTACTCATTAGAAATTAGAAGTATGAGGAGTGATCTTATTGAGACATACAAGTTTTTGAGGAGAATCAACAAAGTAGATATTGAGAAAATGTATCTACTAGCAGGGGATCTGGAACCAGGGGACATAGTTGAAGAATAAAGGATTGTTCATTTAAACTGAGATGCAAAGGATTTTCTTCTCTCAGAGGGCAGTGAATTTCTGAAGTTCACTACCCCAGAGAGTTCTGGAGGTTGGATCACTGAAACTATTTAAAGACGAAGCACATAGATTTTTGAAACATCAGGCAGTTTAAGGTCTGGAGCAAATCAGCATGATCTTGTGGGATGGCAGGCAGGCTTGAGGGGCCAAGTGGCCTTCTGCTGTTCCTATTTCATATGCTCTTATGTTGTTAAATAGAGAGCAGCTCCACATAACTGGCAGGTTTGAAGGGCTGAATGGCCTCCTGTTGCTATTTGTCCTTGAACAGCACCTTCCAACCCTTACCAGCCAGACACATAGGAACACCACTCCCTTCAAGTTCCCCTCCAAGTCAATCACTATCCTGACTTGGAAATATATTGCTATTCCTTCACGGTCGCTGGGTCAAAATCCCAGAATGCCCTCCCTAACAGCATTGAAGGTCTACCTACAGCAGTTGGACTGCAGCAGTTCAAGGAGGCAGCTCACCACCACCTTCCCAAGGGTAAGTTAGGAAACGGGGAACAAATGCATGACAAAGCAACATCAACAAATGAAAGAAAAGCTGTGGGTGTCGTTTGGTACTTACTGGAATGGGTGGACCTCCTGGGTTTTGTAGATCAGATGAAGAGCAGACGTGTAAAGGCGGAGGCTAATGGTGACAGAGAGGACAGACAGTGTCAAGTATGCCAGCACGCTGATACCACTGAACTGGGTGAGGGAGAACAAGATGAGGATAATGGCACCAAACACGGTGCCCGTCTTCTTAACATCCTCCCAGTACAGAAGGTCAGTCACTGTGGGAAAACAAGACAGAAACAGTAAGGGTTTTGTGGGGGTGCAGGGTCGCCAAACCAGCACTTTGTCAATGCAGTCCACTCAGAGGTGTTTCTGAAAGTGGGTTCCTTGGTCAAATTGTGCCTGAGTTAATGCCCAAATCAAGCCGTGCAGGGGGTGATTCTGCCACGGTTGTAATGCCAATGGATTACTGATTCAGAGCTGATGACACTGTTCTGCAGGAGAGGCTGAGAGGAGATTTGATCGAGGTTTTCAAAATCATGAGCAGGCTGGACAGAGTCGACGGGGAGAAGTTGTCCGCGCTCTTAAAATGAACAAGAGGGCAAAGGTTTAAAGTGATCTGCAAACGAAACAAGGGTGATGTGAGGGATAAAAACCTTTCCCAGTCAGCGCGTAGTTAGGGTTTGGAATGCATTGCCTGGAAATGTGGTGGAGGCTGATTCAATTGAGGGCATTCAAGAGGGTATTGGATGGTTATTTGGATAGAAATTATGTGCAGGGATATGGGGGAAAGGCAGAGAGTGGCAGTAGGTAATAGAACCATTGCAGGCATGGTCTCCTGAGCCATAACAATCATCTGTGTGGCAATTTGGAAGTGTGACAGCAAATTTTGGCAAGATTGTCGCAGAGGCCCTCACAGTTAAACCTGCCTTCAAAGTGGTCCATTAATATAGACTAGTTTAGCTCGGGAAACCTGGTCAGCATGGACAAGATGGATCTGTTTCTATGTTGTATGGCTCTATGGCTCTGCACTGAGTGACAGTGCAAAACATAAACCTCCTAAGGGGCGATGGTGGCCTCGTGCGAATGTTCCTGGATTAGTAATCCAGAATCTGAGGATAATGCTCTGGGAGTGCAGGCTTAAATGCCATTAACGGGCCTGCTTTTGTTCTCCTGGATGACAGTGGTCTTGCAACTGGGAGCTGATAAAAACACAGGGCTCATCCTCCACCCAATTTCTGACAATTTCTGAGGCTAAAGCCTGAGAGACATGGTGACAAAAGTTCCTGATGGGGGAGATCACTCAAATAATTGGAGGCAAGAAACCATTTTTCTTTGGAACGTACATTTTAGTGTGAAAAACAGACATGAAGAGTATTATTTAAATGGTGATACATTGGGATGCACAATAGGATCTAGGTGTGCTCGTACACCAGTTAATTAAAGCAGACGGGGAAGGTGTCCATCCTTAATTGTTAAGGGTTAACTGCATTGCAGTGGGTCTGGAGTCACAGTTAGGCCAGATTGGATAAAGATGGCGGATTTCCTTCCATAAAGGAACATTAGTGAACTAGATGATCTTTCCCAACAATCGATAATGGTTTCATGGTCGCCATTAGACTCTTAATTACACATTATTTTTAAAATTGAATCCAAATTCCACCATCTGACATACTGTTCCCAGAGCATTAATTGCATCTCTAGATTGATAGTCTAGAGATAATACCATGAGGCCATCATCCTCTCAGATCCTCAACATTCCCGGTAACTCAATGTTGTGTTTGGAACACATTTGTCATCCAGTGACAATTCCCAGCGGTTCAATTTCTTACGTGGTGATATGAGAAAATGCAATTCAAAGGAAGGAGGGGCACAGAGCAAGTGAACAATTCTACACAGGTTTGCAGCCATGCACCCAGTCCCCAACACCATCAGGGCCTGCGATTCTAAATCCAACATGTGCCATCCCAAGGGACGGTCTTTGAGAATATGAGCATTCCCGGTGCTATGATTAGCCTGAGCGCTGAAGGGGACAGGACAGAGCAGCTGGAGAATCTCCATGGCGGCTGCGACAGCTGATCAGATCAAATTGCAAAAAGGGGAAAAAGAAGAGAGAGGTTTTTGTGAGGCCCTTGGGTGTGGAGAGGGAGAGGGAAGAACAAATTCAACAACATTAAAGGAAAGTGGAACTTATTAACATTGAGGCACGCTCTATCAAATAATATGAGTCACCCTTAATTCTCCGTCAGATGCTGGGCCAATTCTAGGCAGGAGCTGGCACTGACCTCTTGCACTTTACAAAGATACATTGCAAAGTTTATCAGTCTATTTACTGCAACCCCCTTATTACCCCTCCCTGCCACAGCTTCCCCACTGCTCCAAAAACCTGCCACAGAATCACATATTGCCATCGCTCTGCAGCTTAACGTAGAAAAGAGCAGCAGGATAGGCTATTTGGCCCTTTGAGCCTGCTCTACCATTCAATATGATCACGCTTGATCATCCAGCTCAGTCCCCTGTTCCTGCTTTCTCCTTCATGCCCTTTAGCCCTAAGAACTATATCTAACTCCTCTTTCAATGTTTTAGCCTCAATCACTTTCTGTGGCAACTGAATTCCACAGGCTCACCATTCTCTGGGTGAAGACATTTCTGTTTAACCGAGAGGACGAAGCACAGTCTAACCTTTCCAACCCATTCTCGAGCTCCTCTGTCTCACTTTTATCCCCCACTTGTCAGGAGAAGCTTCAGGGAGACAGCGTGGCTCCTGCTGCTGGGTCCAGCCACCAGCAACCTGTGCTCGGACTGTCTGATCCCCGGCACATACCACGGCACTGATTAACTCTCGATGGTCTGAGTCTTATCTCACTGCTCCAGCAGTCTGACACAGCAGCCAACAACAACAACAACTTACATTTATATAGCACCTAATGAAACATCCTGAGGTGCTCCACAAGCACTATGGTCAAACAAAAGAAAAAGACACAGAGCCAAATTTATTTTTAAAAAAATAATTCAGGAGATATGGGTGTCCCCGGTGCCAGTGCTGAGCTGCCTTCTTAAAACTGCGGTCCATTTAGTGTAGGGACTGCCACATACCTTCCCAATTCTTGTCGGGGGGAGGGTTTTCTAAGATTTTGACCCAGTGACACCGATGGAGTGGCGATATATTTCTCAATCAGGATGGCGTGTGACTCAGAAAAGAACTTGCACAGAGAGGCGTTCCATGTATCTGCTGCCCTTGTCCTTCCAGGTAGGGGTAGATGTCACAGGTTTGGAAGGCGGTATTAGGTCTTGTGACCAAAAGCTTGATCAAAGAGGTAGGATTGAACCAATGTTCTGTTTGATTTATTTTACCAGCATGGGAACCTGCGAGGTCCGTGTGCGGCACCAATCTCCAAAACTGAACGTCTGCATGTCAATCGGCATCGGCAGAATCTTGGTGTGTCTACATGACCATGCAGCTGAACAGATTGTAGGGAATACTGGACTGAACATACGGACATATATACGAACACGTAAATTAGGAACAAGCATTCGGTAAGCTTGTGGCTGATCTGATTACAACCCCTACTTTCCTGTCCAAGATGGGTTCCTTATATTTCTGGGGTGAGGACCAAACCCACCCATTGATGCAGTAGGTCAGAGAAATGGTGGTGTATGGTAATGCCCATGAGACCCAGAAGCAGAAAACGGTAGAACTTGCAAATGACATATACTGGTCTGACCTGTCTTAGGTTCCGAAGAACAGTGCTCCAATATGACCAGTACATTTATTTCCAAGTATTATTGCTTTTTTTGACTGGTCTTTCTCTCGGAGAAATATGTGCCAAGGATGCCAGCTGATGGAATTAAAATTTAATTAATAAATCCATCTTAAAACCAGTCTCAGTGAGGGACACCATGAAACCACAACCAATTGTTGTAAAAGCCCCATCTGATTCACTAATGCCCTTTAGGGGCACAAAGTGGCCAACATGTGACTTCAGGTCCACAATGATATGGTTGACTCAGCCAGTGACTCCATTCAAAGGCAGTTAGGGATACAAACATCCCAGGAGTGCCAAATCCGCGGAAAGAATAATGAGTTGGGAGTAGGTAGGAGGACTATCCCCTGGGGGCTCCCCCTCTTGGAGGCACTGCCACATCCTGAGCTTTTTATTTCACTATGGTCAGGGAGTAATACAGCACCTAAACAGACCCTTCGGTCCAACCAGTCCATGTCGAACATAATTCCAAACTAGAGATAGTAGGATGAAGAGTCTAGGCCCGAAACATCAGCCTTCCTGCTCCTATGATGCTGCTTGGCCTGCTGTGTTCATCCAGCTCTACACCATGTTATCTCATAATTCCAAACTAAACTAGTCTCACCTGCGCCCCCGCCCCCGGTTCCTATCCCTCCAAACCTTTCCTATTCATGTACTTATCCAAATGTCTTTTAATGTGTTGAGGTTTCAGCAATAAGATGAATACAGAGGCATTTGGATGGGAAGAATGTGCAAAGGCACCTTCCAATGTATCTCACTGTTTTACTGACAGTGCTGGCATGGTGACTCAGTAGTTAGCACTGCTACCTCACAGCACCAGGGATCCTGGGTTCAATTCCACCCTCAGGCTCTGTGTGGAGTTTACGCATTCTCCCAGTGTCTGCGTGGATTTCCTCCGGGTTCTCCGGTTTCCTCAAAGATGTGCAGATTAGGGTCGATTGGCCATGCTAAATTACTCATAGTGCTCAGGGGATTTGCAGGATAGGTGGGTTAGCCATGGAGAATACAAAGTTACAGGGATAGGGTAGAGGGGTGAGCCTGGGTGGGCTGCTTTTCCAAGGATTGGTATGGACTCACTGGGCCGAATGGCTTATTTCCCTGCTTTGAGGATTTGATTCAATTCTATTCTAATGATACATTTAAAAGTAATTAGCTAGGAGAAGGACGCCCTGCTGCCTTATGAAAGTTGGTGAGAGGAAGCAATGCTAACAGCACAGAGTATATGGACCTGATGTTCATCTTTTCATTGCTTCTGCTGAACAGAAAATGAACAAACTGAGAGACGGGAGCTGCCAAACATTACATTCACTCGTTCATGGGATGTTGGCCATAAGACCATAAGATACAAGAACAGAATTAGGGCATTCGGCTCATTGGCTCTGCTCCTCCATTTGATCGTGGCTGATATGTTTCCCAATCCCTTTCTCCTGCCTTCTCCCCATAACCTTTGATCCCTTTACCAGTCAAGAACCTTTCTATCTCTGTCTAAAAGACACTCAATGACTTGGCCTCCA